CTGAGCAGGAGACAAGTTTGTGCCCTGGAACCTGATTCCAGGAAATTAAATCTCCAAACTCAGGACTTTCCTCTTTCTTTCCCCCCATTCCTTCATTCTCCCATGGCCACCTGTTACAGCACACCTGGAATTTTGGAGCCTCACAGGCTCCTATCCCTGTCCCTGCCTGTGGATCCCTGGGGCTGGATCTGGGAGATCCATGCTGGAGCCATCTCCTAGCAAGGAATTACAGGCTAAGGAATGTGGTATCAGTGGGAGGAGTGTGTAAAAATAGGAGTCAGCTGTGAAGGGGGAAGGGATGTGTGTGTGAAATGTCTCAGGAATTACCTGTGAAGTTATGTTTGTGTTTTGGCCTCAAAAGTGGTATTCAGATAAAAGCCATGAGCCTGTGTGAGCACAGGAGGGTGATCAAAAAGCTGAAGAGATCCCAAAGGACAGGCAGGAATGAGGGAATTCAGGAGCACCAGGACATGCTGGAAGCTGGCAGGGAGCACAAGTTCCACTGGGCACAGGGAGAGGCTATTTCTGGAGCCTCTGTGGGGAAAGGTCTGTGTTGGCAGAGGATCAGGTGTCAGCGCTGAGCTCAGGGCTGGTGTCACCCCTGGGGTGGCCTCAGCACAGGGATTGTCCCCTGTGCTGGCACTGGGGGCACACCCCAATCCTGGGGCAGTGCTGGGCCCTCACAAGGCATTGAGGGGATGGAGAGTCTCCAGGGAAGAAGATGAGAAGGGTCTGGAGCAACTAAGGGAGTTGTGGGAGCTCAGCCTGGAGAAAAGGGGCTTGGGGAACCTTCTGCTCCCCACAACTCCCTGAAAGGAGATGCAGCCAGGGCGGGTTGGGCTCTGTTGCCAGGGAACAACGGACAGGGGGAACAGCCTCAAGGTTCTCCATGGGAGGGTCAGGTCCCTCCTGGAAAGGGCTGTCCAGCCCTGGCACAGTTGCCCAGGGCAGGGGGAGTCACATCCCTGGAGGGATTGAACAGCTGTGTGGATGTGGCACTTGGGGACATGTCAGTGGTGGCCTTTTCAGTGCTGGGGAGACTCAGGGGGCTTTTCCAACCCAAATCATTCCCTGATCCTGTGCCAAAGCAGGAGCAGTGAGTTCACACTGTGTCCCACAGACATTCACCCTTGGGCGTGTGCATCCCTCTCCCTGTGTCAAGTGGGACCCCCCCATTCCCTGAAGCAGCTCTGGGGTCCTGTGTGGGTCAGAGTGGGGGTGCAGCAGCCCTGACCCTACTCCCTGCAATCCCAGAGCTCCAGGGCCGAGGGCACGTTCCAGGTGACGATGCTGCCAGGGGATGGAGTGGGCCCAGAGCTCATGCACGCCGTCAAGGAGGTCTTCAAGGTAGGGACACCTGCCTGGGGAGGGACAGGAGATCCAGGTCAGGGCCCGGACACATATGGTCACATCCTGCTGTGCCATGGGAGTGTGGCTGGCACTGTCCTGCTTTCCTGTGACTGTCCTCGCTGGTGCTGAGCCCTGGCACAGCCTGGGAGACTCGGGGATGGGTAATTGTGTTGTCTGTCACATGAGTTCTGTCATGGCACAGGCAGCAATTGGAGGGATTTAGGTTGGATAATTGGAAAATTTCACCTGGGATGGGCTGTCCAGGCCTGGCACAGCTGCCCAGGGGAGGGGTGGAGTCTCCATCCCTGAGGGGAGGGATTTAGGTTGGCTGTTGGGACAGTCCCTCCTGGGAAGGGCTGTCCAGCCCTGGCACAGCTGCCCAGAGCTGCAGGGGAGTCACATCCCTGGGGGGGATTGAACATCCATGTGGATGTGGTGCTTGGGGACATGTCAGTGGTGGCCTTGGCAGTGCTGGGGGAATGGTTGGACTTAGAGGCTTTTCCCACCACAGCAGTTCCATGATTCTCTCAGTGTCTGTCAGTCTGTTGAGACTGAGGTGACCCAGAAGTCCATGCTCAGCATTCCCTAATCGCAGTTCCTTCCTGTCCCTGAGCTCTGGCCGGTTCAGGGCAGTGTGAGCCCATCAGTGCCTCCCAGTGAGGAGCCGTGTCACGTTGCCAGTGGCTCTGTCTCTCTCCCAGGCTGCCAGTGTGCCCGTGATCTTTGATGAACACCAGCTGAGCGAGGTGCAGAACACAGCCTCAGAGGAGAAGCTCGACCGTGTCATCGACTCCATGAAGGAGAGCAAAGTTGCCCTCATAGGTGAGGGCCTGGTGGGTGTCTGGGCACCAGGGGCTGTGCCTAAGCCTAAGGAATGGGGCCTGATCCCTATTATTTTCTTCATCCTTATCCTTATTCTCCTCCTATGCTGGGCACAGGTGAGGACTCACCTGGAATGCTGGGGCAGGTTTAGATCCCTCAGGGCAAGACATTGAGAGGATGGAGAGTGTCCAGGGAAGGAGCTGGGAAGAGACTGGAGCAGCTAAGGGAGCTGTGGGGGCTCAGCCTGGGGAAAAGGGGCTCAGGGGGACCCTTCTGCTCCCCACAACTCCCTGACAGGATGGGTTGGGCTCTGCTCCCAGGGAACAGGGGAAAGGAGGGAATGGCGTCAAACTGTGCCATGAGAGGTTCAGGGACAATCCCTCCTGGAAAGGGCTGTCCAGCCCTGGCACAGCTGCTCAGGGCAGGGGGAGTCACATCCCTGGAGGGATTGAACAGCTGTGTGGATGTGGCACTTGGGAACATGTCAGTGGTGACCTTTTCAGTGCTGGGGAGACTCGGGGCTTTTCCAACCCAAACCATTCCCTGATCCCGTCTCAGATGCCATTAGGTACTCCCAGAGGGCAGGTGGGCATGTCCTGGGGAAGGACAGGTGCTCTGGACTTGTGCCAGTGCTATCAGTGCTCACTGGAGTTCCCAAATTTGGGGTTACTTCCAGCTCCTGCTGTTCAATCCAGATCTAGTACAGCCCAGGGGCTGGTTGGGTCCTGCGCAGTGAGAACTGAGCCCCCACACCTGGCTGAGGTGTGCTGGAGTCTCGCTGTGCTATCCTTTCCTGCCCCTGGCATGTCCTCATCCTGCCCTGTGTGCTCCTCCTGCTCCTGTCCCCATCCTGTTCTGTGTGCTGATCCTGCCCCATGTCCTGCAGGTAAGATCCACACGCCCATGGAGTATAAGGGAGAACTGGCATCCTACGACATGAGGCTCAGGTGAGGGAGATGTCACCTTCCAGGGCTGGGCAGCAATATGCCACATGCTGGGAAACACTTAATTAGGAATTAATGAGTTATTGGGAAGCAGAACTCCTGAGGGATCATGTGTGGGCAGGAGCTGACCCTGTTCACTGTGATCCTGATCCCTTGGGGGTCCTGGAGAGTGGGGGAGGGCCCCAGCTGTGTCCCCAGTGCCTGTAGGGAACAATCACTGGGAAAACACTGTTCATTAGTAATTAATGAGTTACTGGGAAGCAAAATTCCTGCGGGACCATGTGTGGGCAGGAGCTGACCCTGTTCACTGTGATCCTGATCCCTTGGGGGTCCTGGAGGGTGTGGGGTGTCCCCTAGTTGTGTCCCCAGTGCCTGCAGGGAGCAGTCACCAGGAAAACCCCATTAATTAGTAATTAATGAGTTATTGGGAAGTGGAAACTCCTGAGGAGTCTCCCTGAGGCCACCCTGCCCTGTTCACTCCTGATCCCTTGGGGGTCCTGGAGGGTGTGGGGTGTCCCCTAGTTGTGTCCCCAGTGCCTGCAGGGAGCAGTCACCAGGAAAACCCCATTAATTAGTAATTAATGAGTTATTGGGAAGTGGAAACTCCTGAGGAGTCTCCCTGAGGCCACCCTGGTGACCACAGCCCCGGTGCTGCCCCTCCCCAGGAGGAAGCTGGACCTGTTTGCCAACGTGGTACACGTGAGGTGTGGGGTGTCCCCTAGTTGTGTCCCCAGTGCCTGCAGGGAGCAGTCACCAGGAAAACCCCATTAATTAGTAATTAATGAGTTATTGGGAAGTGGAAACTCCTGAGGAGTCTCCCTGAGGCCACCCTGGTGACCACAGCCCCGGTGCTGCCCCTCCCCAGGAGGAAGCTGGACCTGTTTGCCAACGTGGTACACGTGAAGAGCCTACCTGGCTACCAGACCCGGCACAACAACCTGGACCTGGTGATCATCCGGGAGCAGACAGAGGGCGAGTACAGCTCCCTGGAGCACGAGGTACAAACACCTGGCCAGGTGGGATGGCCCTGCTCCCACACCTGGGCTGGACACAGGCGGAGAAGGACCAGAGGAGGCCCCAAGGGCTGGAGCTGCTCTGCCATGGAGCCAGGCTGGGAGAGCTGGGAATGTCCAGCCTGGAGAAGGGAAGCACCGGGGAGACTGTAGAGCGTCTTCCAGTGCCTAAAGGAGCTCCAAGAGAGCTGGAGAGGGACCTGGGACAACGCATGGAGGGACAGGACAAGGGGGAATGGCTTCACCCTGCCAGAGAGCAGGGATAGATGGGATATTACTAAGGAATTCTTTGCTGTAAAGTGGTGAGGAGCTGGGATGGAATTCGCAGAGCAGCTGTAGCTGCTCCATCCCTGGAAGTGTTCTAGGCCAGGTTGGATGGGGTTTGGAGCCACCTGGGTTGGTGGGAGGTGTCCCTGGTTAGAACTGCATGAGCTTTAAGGTGTCTCCAGCCCAAACCATTCCATGATTCCCCAACTTCATCTGCCTGGAGCAGCAGGATGAGGGCAGGTTTTAGGGCTCTGAACACACCCCAGGCCCAGTGAGGACTGTGGGGGCTGCAGGAGGGATAACACCAGGAACAAGGGACAGAGGGACATGGATGTTGTCCTGGGTTAACCCCAGCCAGGAACTCTGTACCTTCCTCTCCCTTGCCAGGGGGAAGAAGGAGCATTGGAAAGAGAAAATGAAACTGAGCTGAGATAAGAACAGTTAAGAATGGAAGCAAAACAATAAGTACTAATCATAACAAGAATAATGCTGTGAGGGATCTGTGAGGGGATCTGTGGGTCTCTGAGGAATCTGTGGATCTGTGAGGGGTCTGTGCTGTACCCATGACCCCCCTGTGCCCCCAGAGCGCCAAGGGGGTGATCGAGTGCCTGAAGATCATCACCCGTGCCAAGTCCCAGCGCATCGCCAAGTTCGCCTTCGACTACGCCACCAAGAAGGGACGTTCCAAGGTTACAGCTGTGCACAAGGCCAACATCATGTGAGTGCCCCTGTCACACTGCTGTCCCCCAGGGCCTGGCACCCGTGGCCAGGGGCCACCTCCACTCACACAGTGTATTAGGGATTGGTTCTGTGTCGTTAATGGTAGAGGAAACACCTGCCAGGGCCTAAAGGGCTTCAGGAGAGCTGAGAGGGACTTGGGCATGGAGGGACAGGGCACAGGAGATGGCTTCACGCTGGGAAAGTGGAGATTTAGATGGATAATGGGAAGGAATTCCTGGCTGTGAGGGTGGTGAGGCACTGGCACAGGTTTCCCAGAGCAGCTGTGGCTGCGCCATCCCTGTAAGGGTCCAGGCCAGGTTGGATGGGGTTTGGATCCACCTGGGCTGGTGGGAGGTGTCCCTGGGTGGAATTAAAGGTCCCTTTCCACCCAAACCATTCCATGATTGATCCCGCTCTGTGCCAGGCTGGTTCAGAGAGACCAGGATATTCCTGGGATTAGCTTTTTCGTCTCTCTGGTCCCACCTCCAGCCTGAGGCTGTGGCAGACCTGGAGAGGGAAGGCTGTGGCCAGATGTGAGCAGGACACTGACTCCAGGACTGATGATGATCAGATTTATTGATAACTCAGTATTAAAACATTACCAGTGCAGCATCTCACTAACACCGGTGCCTGTCCCCATGGATTATGGGATCAGGGTGGCTCCTGTGGGGCTCCACCTCACTGTCTGGATCTCTGAGGGAATTCCAAGTGTGATTCAGCTTCTCAGGCTCAGCTTTGGTCACAATTTGTGGCTGAAGGGTTAAAATCTTGTCAGGTCTGGCTGGAAATGTAGAGGTTGAGGCTCTGCCCTGCTGGATTCAGCCCCTGCAGGGCTTTCCTCTGGATTGACCAATCTTCACCTGTCTGCAGGTGAGTGTTCCTTATTTGAGGCTAGATGTGCCCTGCAGGTATCCCAGCCAGGAGGGGGAGATCCACCTTAGCACACCAGTTTGCCCAGTTGGCCTAGCCTCCAGCAGTGTTTTATTACTTTATCCAGACCCGTGTTCACCAAACATCCCAGTGCCCATCCCTGGAATCAGTGATGGAGCACCTGCACAGCTCCTCTGGCACTTCCCACCTGAGACAAGCCACATTCCCCTTGGAGAGGGTGTAAAGGGAGAGGGGGATGTGAGTGGGGGACAGAGCAACAGGACAAGCTCCAGCTGTCACAGCCCCCAGTTCCTGGTGGATACCTGCTGATGGTGGCTACCTGCAGCTGCTGCTGGAAGGC